AAAAAAAAGAAAGAAAGAAGGAACCTCAGATCAGCTGGGATCACTTCTTCAGGAAGGGGAGAATGGGAGAAGACCACCCACTTGATGTCATACAACTGTGACACTAGGTTGTAACAAATCAAGTCACTACATGAATGAGAAGGGAACTGTATTAGAAAGTTAAGCTCGGGGAAGGAGAGCCCCTAGATTATAGAGGAAGCATTTATACTCCTCTGTTTGTGGGTAAATGGGAAGAGCAACTTGATATCCAGAAGGGATGTTCAACAATAATTATAGAGAATTCAAGGGGAAAATAAGCCCAGCACTATGTTCCTGGTTAGAGACTTTTGAATTAGTTTCTACCAAACTCTTAGTGAACCACACCAGCGCTATGCACTACAATGACTTAGGCCTTTCGGGAAACACACATCCCCCATAGGCCACACCAGAAGTTCTTGATGTGGAAACCCCATGAATGAACTGGGCTCTACCTCAAAATTACCTGTAGCCCTTGTACTTAGGACTGAAATTCCTGGTGAGAGAAGAAACAAATAATGGCCACCCCGTCTGTGGAATTGGCAGTCATTAGACCTTCTTAAGAATCCCTGGCTTAGTGGGTGTTCAATGAAAAATAGCACAGTCACCATATATTGACTACCTTACTACCCTCTGCTTTAATATGACATGTATTAATCTGACGGACAAGGATCTGCCCTTTTAAAGGAATGTTACTGAAAATTTGTCTCTAACATCGATCCCCAAGGTCAATTTAAAGAGAGTTCAATCATTTAAGAATTCAAACTGTACAAAGCAACAACTCATGGACAGCAATTCTCCGCTGGGTTAAACTTGCATAACCTCCTTTTCCCAACAGTATATTACATTTTTTGCCACTGGATAAATTATTGATGCTTTCAATGTAATTGCCTTATGCCTTGGGGGATTTATTGATAATGCTTTTTGTTATAAAATTATAATGAGGCCCCTAAAGTAAACCAGAGTCTTACATAATCCAAGGACAAGTGAATGAATGCTGGGCTCCGACTTAATTCTAGCCCCACTCCAAGGTTAGTTCTTCTTTTTATTTTTTAATCATTTTATTGGGGGCTTGTACAATTCTTATCACAATTCATACTCAGTACTCACCTTCATGAAGAGATCCCTGGAAATATGGGTGATATGGCAATGAGTGGTGAAAAAAACAGATGGTGCCCAGCTATCAATAAAAATAGCTTATGGGAATTTAATGGCTTGTTTTTAAACAAATAGTCATCTAAGTGAGGCCTCAACTAAGCTCAGATGAAAGAAGCATACCAGCCTGTGTGATGCAAAGATGACAAAGACCAAAATCCAAATATGATTGAGGAAAAGGTATCATAGCTTAAATTGTGAACAAACAACTTGTAGAAGGCTATGGAGGACAGGGGTTATGCATTGGGCTTTGAACCACAAGGTCAGCAGTTCACAAGTACTAGCTGCTCCTCAAAAGAAAGACTGGCCTTTTGTGATAGGTTTATTGTGCCAACCTGGCCAATGAACAATGTGGAATTAACTAAAGGACAGTTTAATTGACGGGCAGAGAGATAAATGGCTCAGCAAGCCTCGCCTTTCTTGTCTCTTGCTCTTTGATGATCAGTCCAGTGTGAGGCTGCCTTAGCTAGTTCTCTGCCTCAACTTGCAAGGTACATGACCTGTGGGGCCCCCAACCCAAGGACTGTGTCACTGTAGTTTGAGGTTCCTTCAAGACCTGCTTCACCACACTACTGGTGTATACATCACTTGAGGTGGGGACTGTTGGACCCTGTCATCTGGCTGACTTTTGGTGACCTGCCCTTCCTATTTGCTGCCTGTGGCTGGATTGCCTGAATTGCTCTACAGAGGACTCAGCTGTCTACTTCCTTGACTTGCACCTGGGGGCCCTCGTGACTTGAAGGACTGCCAATGTATTAGCTGTCTCATGGAAGTGAGTTGCACTGAGCCATTTGCACTGCTCTATAGACTAATTAGTTGTTTATTTCTTATTTTGAATAGATAGATAGATAGATAGATAGATAGATAGATAGATAGATAGATAGATAGATAGATAGACACATGCACATACACACACATATACATATTCATTACTGTCCTGGTCTTGTTTCTCTAGAGAACCCAGTCTAACACATCTTTCTGCGCCGTAAACAGTTACAGGCTCAAAAAATCAAAAAGGGCAGTTCTACCCTGTCCTATAGGGTCACTATAAATAGGCATCAACTTGATGGCAGGGAGCTGGAGGGGAGAGCAGCTCAAAATCCATCTGCAGAGAGTACCCTGTAGTTAAGCCTCTTGCAGATCTCCTGTGACCACAGTCGAGGGACATGAATGACTTTACTGTCAGACAGAGATCATTGGAAACTTGGTTATGGTGGATGGAATGATAGTATAATATGATACCGGTCAGTTGATCGCCCTGTCGACTCATTCTGTATTTGTTCTAGGCTTAAATATTTCCTGCTTGTTTCACAATATTTGTTTTCTTACTTAATATTACCAGTGCTCTTTTCTTTTTCCTTTTCCTTTTTTTAAACAACTGTTTTAGATTTTTTTCTCTTACTTTGTTTTTTTGTTTACCAGTAGTATATTTCCTAGTTTATGAATCATAGAAGGTGGATGATTAGAGACATTAATTGATGAAATAGGTTATTGGAGATGTGGTGGGTGGGCTGAAGGGAATTGGGAGAAATTTGTGCACTTCTAAATATAACTAGATGTTTTAAATAAGAGCTTGTTTGTCCACAATACACACAGATTTGGGAAAAATAAATCTAAGGAGTAACCATAAATTCAATAGGATCTAATATCCAAAATACTCATACACAATACTACTATTTAAAAACAGATAAATGACTCAACCAAAAATTGAGTAAAATTCAACCAAAAAATGTCAATTGTATTGACATTTCACCAAAAAAGATGTTCAAACGGACAAATACATGAAAAAAATGGTATAGATCACTAGCCATTAATGAGATGCAAATCCAAACTAGGATGATATACCATCTCAACCCTATTACAATGGCAATGAAAAAAATACACACAACACACAGAGAAAACTGCACTTGAGAAGTTGTAGAGAAAGTGGAACTTCCATCCATTGTCAGGTGGCATGTAAAATGATACAATGACCCAGAAATCACACTATTAGGTCTTTACTCAGAATAACTGAAGTGTAAACCCAAAGAGAAACCTCGATGGTGATGTCCGTTATAGCATCACGCACAACAGCCAGAAGGTAAAACAAGCAAAATGTCCATCAACAGATGAATAGATAAAGAAAATGTGGTAACTGAATAAACTGCATTTTACTCACTCATAAAGAGAAATAAAGTTCTTTTACATGATACCACACATGGATGACTTTTGAAAACATTATGCTGAGTGAAATGTCAGTAATAATAGGACAAATATTTTATTATTTCACTTATATGAAATTAGAAAATATACAGAAACCAAAAATTGTTAGTGGTTACATTGTCGGTAGCAGATGACAGTAAGGGGAAAATGAACACTTATTGTTTAGGGAAAACACCGTTTATATCCACAGTGGTGAATTAATTTGAATATATATATATATATTTATATTAAAAAT